GGGAACGCCACCATACATACATACATACATACATGCATACATACATACACATACATACTCAAACATACACATACATACAAAAACATACATACATGCATACATACATACATGTTTAAATGCATACACACACACATTTATATATGTATATATGTATATATGTGTATATGTATATGTATATATATATATATATATATGTGCATATACATACAGGTGTGTGTATGTAAAATTATATATATATATATATATATATATATATACAAACACATGTTAATAGGTATGTATAGATATACATAAACATGTACACATGTATACATATATGTGTACATATATATGCAGATACACACATACATGCAGGTGTACATCTATTATATATGTATATATGTTTACATATACATATATAAATATACGAACTTGTACATGCAAAAGTTATAAACATAAGAATAAACATATACAAACACATGTAGATATGTGTTTTCATATATGTAGGTATATGCAAAAGCACACAACAGCACGCATGTACTTTTGTAGATATACATATATATGTAGGTGCGTGTGTATATATATATATATATATATATATATATGTGTGTGTGTCTAAATTTTTATATATATATATATATGTATGTATATCTACCTATATATATACATACAGATACATGTATTTACAGGTGTGTGTGCATATATATATATATATATATATACACACACATACATACGTATGCACAGACACACACACAGCACACCCCTCTCTATTTTTACATATGCATCTAATCAGCAGCAATGGGGAAAAATGCTACAAAGGCAAAGTTGCAAACGCCTGCTGTCTTGAAAGACCGCACGAAACTATCAAACCCTTGGCCCTTTCGCCTCCTCAGGGGGACTGCCGGGCAACAAACAAGCTTGCAAATGGGTGTGGGCAAATGGGGGGGGGGGTACTTCCAGTCATGGTGCTACTGCTGCGACTACTCCTGCTACTGCTCCCGCTGTTGCTGCTGCTACTACCACTACTACTACCACCACTACTACTATTGCGACGACGAGTTGCTAGTAGTAGTAGTAGTAGTAGCAGCAGCAGCAGCAGCAGCAGCAGTGGTAGTACTACTGCTACTGCTGCTACTACTACTACTACTAGTACTACTAGTACTACTAGTACTACTAGTACTACTAGTACTACTAGTACTACTAGTACTACTAGTACTACTAGTACTACTAGTACTACTAGTACTACTAGTACTACTAGTACTACTAGTACTACTACTACTACGACGACGACTACTACTACTACTACTGCTGAACTACGGATCCGCAGACCGAAAATCCTGAACTTCTTTCCGCCTCCTCCTATCCTAACAGACGGGGCTTCATAATTAGATGGGGGCTTGGGTCCATAATCAGTACCAAGGGGATTATGAGGCAATGCTATAACTAATCCGTCCGACTCCTACAGTGCACCAGATGCCTGGTTCAAAGCCGGCGCATCGTTGACCCCGTCGCCAGTCATGGCCGCAACTTGACCCATGCGCTGGATTGACTTTACAATTTCCTCGGATATGTCGCACTGGGCATCTGGCTTCAAAAATTTTGAACAGTGGCTCAATCTCAATAAGGTGACCTGACAACAGAAGAAACGGGAGGGCCAAGTTGATGTCAACAAGGAACCTGCCCTGTGGGAGCAGCCTTTTTGGAATAAAATAAGGGCCTCCCCTTGAAGACTGCTCCCGTGGCCGACGTGGACATCGGGGTCAAGAGCTTGAGACGAATTGCCGGATGTCGGATCATTCCGCAAGCGTGACAGTTAATTTAGAACAGTTGCTGGTTCAGGTGCCGGTATGAGCATGAAGGCCCAAAAGGAACACTATCCATAACTCGTAGAGAAGACTCAACCCGACGGACCCTTAAGATCAAAATCCTTCTCAACCCCGCGCCCTGAAATCCTAGACCCTAAACCTCAAATATGGTCCAGCATCCAGCTTGTCTTCCGGCTTCGCACGGGCGAAGACTCGCACCTGTAGAGGGTCGGAGCGTTGATAGCGGGTTTGAAGTTGAAAGTGTGTTTTAGATAGGGCTCCAGAAGTACCCAAATCATAAGGTTTAGGGCCTAGTTTAGGGTGCCAAAACTGTTCCGAGCATGGTATTTGGGACCTCAAGTGCTTGGGCCCTCTGAACCCTAAACCCACCTGGAACCCTTACGAAAGCCCTTACTACTTGGAGACTTGGACTCGCTACACTAGACCCAAAACCCTGCAACAGCCGAGGCACTGTGGACGTGAGGCGATCCATTTCCTTTCCCTCGAGGTAATGGCCTTTCCAAGGGTTTGCGGGTTTAGGGGTTGAAGGATGAGGGATTAGGGTTTGGGGTTGGTCTGGGGTTGAGGGTGGCAGAGGGACTTTATGCAGGCTGTGCAAGAGCTCCCAGAGGTTCCGTTTCAGCATTCGGACAAGGCTGTGTGTAGGTTTTGAGTGTCGGGTTTAACGGGATCCAAGGTCGAGGTCTCTAGGGTTTCGGGGTTAGGATTCTGTTTCAAGGATGCAAGGTTTCGTTGAAGGTTTCGGCTCTTCAGGGACGGATCGAATCCGAGGTTCCCGGGCTTTCGGCTTTCGGGATTCGGCAGTTCTGGCGGTTGTAATTTAGAGGGCTTGCTCAAGGCTTGAGGGGTTTGCATGGCCTGAGATTACGACTGATTTCGGAGGGGAGGTGAGAAGATTGGTGGAATACTCCCTTCTTACTGTGAACATCGCAAGCCCCCACAAAAGCCCCAAACCCAAAGTGCGAAGCACCACCGGCCCTGGTCCTGCAGTCCGACACCCCAATTCGAAGCCCTAAACAACACCCCTTGCCCTAAAACCTTGACCCTTAAACCGCCACGACTTAAGAGATCTGTTGAAATAGCAAGTAGGGTTAGAAGTAAGATAACCATTATGACTAGATTTATAATAACCATACTAACTTATAGCCGGATTGGGGTCCTTATAAATAAAAAGCTTACTTGCTAAGTCCCGTGTTCCTGAAGTAAACCCTAAACCCTAGTGGTTCCTACCCCTTCGCGCCTCCGGGGCGCAGGGTGTTGCAGTCCACTGCTGCAGTCGCCTTTGGGCTCTGGGGCTTAGGGTTTTAGAGGGTTTAGAGTTTAGGGTTTAGAGTTTAGGGTTTTAAAGGGTTTTAGGGGGGTTTAGGGTTTAAGGTTTTGGGGGGGTTTAGGGTTTAGGGTTTTGGGAGGGGTTAGGGTTTAGGATTTGAAGCGGGTTTCGGGTTTCGGGTTTAGGGTTTGAGGGGGGGTTAGGGTTTAGGGCTCTTCGAGGCTTACGGCAGAGGTAGCCAGTTCTAGAGCCGCGTCAGCCCTTCCATGGCTAGTTTAAGGCTTTGGGTCTCCAAAGGGAATGAAGAGATACTGAACTTATGAAACCCGTGGAAAAACCCTCGCGAAATCATAGGAGTTTTCAAGAACCGCTTGAAAAAACAAAGGAGTTTAAGCCTTGCTGTGACAAGCACGAACGACAGTTGTTTGAAAACATCCGGTTTCAGGTACCAGTTTGCTGATTATTGAAACTGGAAAATACGGCTTCAGGGTCGAGGCAGGGTTTAGAGGATTCCAGAACCAGGACCATGAGTCGGGGTGTCGCTATTGCAGCCTCACAAGCTGAAGCTCAGCAATGACAGGGACCGGGACAACAACAAATAAGCGCAAAAGGTTGCTCAGCAGAGCCATCGGCTTCTCGGAGCTGTCAACCCTACACCCCAAAACCCTGAAGCCTGAACCCTAGCCCTTAGACCCTGAACCCTAAACCCCGAGACCCTCAAGCCAACCTTAGACTCCACAGACTTGCAGAAGACACCTCGTCATCTTGTGGCTGGAGGATGCTTACGTTCTTGGCGATGGCGATGGCGGTCCTCCGTTGGATCCGAGGAGTCGAAGGCTCGGGGTTTGGGGATGGAAGGGTTTGGGGTGTTTAGGGTGCGGGGGAGTTCAGGATTGGGGGTGTTGAAGGCTTAGTGTTATTGTTGGTGTTTTGCGTTTACTTAGGGAGTTTTGGGGTGTCACATTCAGCAGTAGCACTCTAGTCACTAGTCCTGGTGCTAACAGCAGAGAATCCTTATAGAAACCTTGGATGCCCCTTGTTAAAACCCTGTCGCCTTACTTACGTGTCTCCTGATCCAAGTACTGTAGGAGCCGTATTCATTACAACACGGTTTTAAGGGTATACTATACGGTAATCGCATCAAGGAGCAGAGAGGAAAATCTTGCTAAACATTCAAGCACCTGTCGAGCCCCCTGTCGAGCTCTTACTAAACACTACAGAGATCCTCCAAAAATTGTCCACCTCAAACCCTGAAACAGCGCAGCGCAGAACCTCGAAACGCTCAACCGTGCAACCCATGTTTAAGTCTGTGCGAGGGTCTTCAGGTAGTCTCCGGTGATCATAACCTGGGAGCGTCTCTTGTGGCTTGGCTGCTCATCAGGGGATTTGGGGAGTCTTGGAGTTAGTTCAAAGTGTCAATTTCCCGCAACTCCAACGTCAGGAAAGGGTGCAAGCGACCAACGTGAAACAAGTTACTGCTTCCAACCAGGGATCTAGAAACAGGAATCATCCAACAAGCTCCTCCGAGTAAACTGCACTGCAGTCGGGCGAGCATGTTACGGCATTAGACCAGGTGCACCTCTGGAAGCTCCGAGCCCGAAGCAAGAAGCCCTCCTTTTTGTCTGAGCACCAATAATTAGTCGATGCACCGTGCAAAGAACAGGGCTTTGCGATGCAGCTCTCAGCAGAGGCCTCAAAATATTCCTCTCGGATCAACAAGTGACACTTCACTACCTCCGACAAAAAATCTCCGCACGGGCCCCAACTGGACGCCGATGCGGACGTGCACAAAAAGTAACCCCTCATGGCAAAAATTATGATGCTGCGCCTCGGAGAATGCTATCGCGATTTCTCACCTCTTTGCCATCCATGGTGCAATGCAACCGAAGAAGCTTGCAGAAATCGGCAGATGCCTTGGGTCTCTATGCGAGCTGGCGCTTCTTCCATGGCTGCGTGCTGGAGGCTGCCTTGCCCAAAGCTTCCATGTGAGCATCTGCCTGCGTCATGACATGGTGGAGGTCGTTGCCGATGGAAATGAATGGGAAGCCCTTCTTCAAGAACTCCTCAACGCGGTCGGTACCGAAAAGGAAGACGCCAAGAACGACGTTGTTCTTCTTAGCAGCTTCCATGAGCTTGGTGGTCATGTCATCCAACTCAGGAGATGTGTACATCTTCGGAAACTCGTACTTCTCATAGAGGCCTGCGCTCATGCAGAGGTCGTTCTGTCCTAAGAAGAGAATGTCCACACCCTGAACAGCAGCAATAGCGTCGATGTTCTTAATGCAATCATGCGTTTCCACCTGCAGTGCCACGGTGACATTGGCGTTTGCGTTGCCAACATATCCCAGCAAACCCTTCTTGTTAGTGCTGCGCTGGGGAAAATAGACAGAGCGAGTTCCTTCTGTCGGGTACTTGCAACAGGAGACAGCTTGCTTTGCCTCTTCGGCGGTGTTGATATAAGGCACCAAGATACCATCAGCACCCAGGTCCAAAGCCTGCTGGATGCCTCCCCTGTCATGGGCACCAGCCACTCGCACCATGGACTTGGCCCCTCCGCTGTGAATGGCACAGAGCATGGAGGAGAGGATCATCGTATCCATGGGGCCATGCTGCATGTCCACCAGGAGCCAATCGTAGCCAGCACAGGAGAGCTGCTCCGCCACGGTGGGAGAGCTCGAGTTCAGGAAAAGGCCCATCTTCGGCTTTCCTGCTCGGAGCTCCTCCTTGAAGCTTTTACCGGACTCGTCGGCGATTGACATGCTGGGTCAGATCCACCGGAAGAAGGCAACTCCAAAGCTTTCAGCAACCTTAAGAGCCCAAATGACATTGAGGCGCAGCGTTTTCCATGTTCGCGGTTTAGTGGTCTAGGACCAGCTCTCAGGGGCTGGGATTTGCTGGAACTGCAAGCGGTTTTCAGGAAGAAGACTGAGGTTTTGGAGTTTGCAAGGGACTCCTGAGTGGCTTAGTCTTGCTTTCAGCTTCAGAAACTGCCCCCGGATTTGTTGATTTGCTGATCAGAGTCAATCCAACTCATGCAGGAACCTGATTAAGAAACCCTGGTCCCATGAGCCCCAAAGTAGTAGGATCCATATAAAGAACCCTAACAAAGGCCCAAGGTTCCTTAATCAGGCTCCTACATCAAATCCAACTAGCCGGCTGCATTGGATACGGACATCTTGAACTCAGTGGAGTTTGTCTTGGGGGGAGGAAATGCTGCTAAAACTATTTTCGGTTTCCTGAAGGGATACATTCATGCGTCTATAAGTTATCATTCCAGCCCTTCTAGAACGCTTCCGAGACCCTCATAAAAACTCTTAGAGCGCTTGAAAGTACTATAGGGGGGCTTGAACATTGGAAGAGGGTTTGGGGGGCATATTTTGCTATAACTTTTCGAAGGAACCTCCAAAATAGTATAGGTGCTTACTAAGTACCCTCCATTACACTATAGTTATAACAAGGATCCCCCCAAAATAGTCTAGGTAATGATTAAGTACTCTGCATTATTGCAGTAGGGATTCTTCGGGCTTCGGCTCCTGGGCTCTTTCGGGCTCAGGATCCTAAACCCAAAGCGCCTAAGGGTTTAGGGTTTAGGGTTTAGGGTTTAGGGTTTAAGGTTTAAGGTAAAAGCCACAAAGTTGGAATATGATTATCCTAACCCTTTTATGGTAAATCATAGGGTATCCTACCATGAAACCATATTCCAACTTTCTGGAGTTCCCTGCAATGGTCCATGTACCTAATAATCGTATACTCTCCCAAATGTAAAGCTGCATAACTACTATCCTAAACCCAAGTACCTGATTATTGGGTCCTTTGGACCCTTAGGGCTATAGAAAAGGCTCAGGTTGCTTGTTTGCTGAGGGCAGTGCATCCCCAGTTATACCTAGGGTTAAAGGTAGAATAACTATATAGTTATAGAACCTATTAAGGGATTTACAACCCCACTTATGAGCCCCATCCACCTCCAAGGAGAGAATAGGGTTTAGGGCTCGTTAAGGAAGATTGGCGTTAATTACACAACTGTTTCTGCAGGACCATAGAAGTCTCAACAGAGACAAGTTGCAACCCGGATGCCAGCTCCTCGCGCAGCCAGAACGGAGTCCTGCAAGGAAGTTCGTTGCGAGTTGCGATAGGGTCTTGGAGGTTTGCCTCTGAACGTCACATCATCAATGGCCCCGAAACTGCAAAACCGACGTCCGTAACCTCGAATTGCTAAACCCTCACACCCCCCCCAACCTTACCTGTATAGTCTCCATTGTAGTTCCAGTTGGGTGTTAATTGCTTTGTAGGAGCCTAAATATGAACGTGTACATACACCGGAAAAATGAACTGCAATACACGAACCCTTATCTCCACACCCCAGCTCTTGATGAGACTCATAAGTAGTGTTTATAAATAGGGTATCTAATAAAACACCCTAAACCATAGCATTTGTTAGGTTAATAACTAACCCTAAACCCCCAAGTGTTCCGAGCCTTTACGCCGTCGCGGTCCGGATCAATGGAGGCGACCAACCCAACCAGCCGCAAGTTCTGCAAGGAGAAAGGGTTCTATAAGGTGGTTAATCGGCTCTAATGCCGTTGTGACAGGATTCTACAGGGTGTCATAGGGTTTTGTATGGCGCTGTGGGGTTTTGTAGGGGTCAGTTAGGGTCGTAGATCACGCAAAAGCAAGCATAACCGCAAAACCCAGAGAGTAGCATGATTCATCATTCAGGCTTATAGTGATGGAAGGCTTTACGACTGGGCTCAGGCTGTAAGCTTGAGGGTTCTAATGGGTTGGCAAGGTTTGGGGCTCAGGCTCTCATGGGGTTGCTCAAGGTGCTGTGGTACCTTTGATGATGTAAATCCTGCACTACCTTAAGGACCCTAAACTATGGGACTAAAGCAGGACTTATATCATCAACCGTACTTTGCAGGCATTAACAGACATCGCGCGATGCTGGAGGCACTCAAAGTCAAGCGTCTTCGTTAAGAGAGGTCTCGGCTGACCTTGTCTGGGTCCACCCCTGAAGATTCTGGGCTGTGCGTCTAGGGTTTAAGGTTTAGGGTTTAGGGTTTAAAGTTTATAGGGTTTAGGGTTGCCACAGTGTCACAGCGGCAGGCTGGTTCTTGAGACAGGTGTTGTGCTTGGACCAGGTTGAACTGTCTTGCTTCGTCATCATCATAGGGACCCTTAGGGGGCTTAAGGGGGAGGGAGGTATTGGACTATACTTCCTTGAATATGCCTTATCAGGTCCTTATTATGGGTATTGCGGGGCCCTACCCTCCGTCCCCCTAACCCCCTAAGGGTCCCCATGACATCATCTCCTTCAGCTGAGCACCGGCCTGCTTTGGATTTTCTGCATCCTGTGTTGCCAGCGCCACTTTCTCAGCCAATTTCATCTTGCCGAGCTTCGCAAGATTCTTAAATTGCTACTCCGTATCGGGCAGATCTTGTACCTCGTCCCGAAAGGTAGTAACTATTTGAAGACGGCAGCACTCCATAACAAAGAACAGGACAGGATAAAGAACACGTTGCTTTTGAGCGTTGGGGACTAGAGGAAGCTTTTGCCTCAAGTTTGCTCCCGGGGGAGCGTTGCAGGTAGCACGCAACACTTGAGGGATAAATAGCAAGCAGCCAATCATGGTCCTTTCTAGTAGTCCAATCGTATGTAATTGTAATGCAGAAGCACTTCACGCCGCAGAAACTCCAGAGGCGTGGTCAAGCTGGACACACGAAGAAACGATTCATGCCTTGAATACCAATCCGAAGTATGCCAAGTCAAACAGACTCAAAACAACCTGAAGCTTCAGCAATAATTTATTCACTCAGCAGAGCATCAAACTTGGCGACTCGACACGTAGTTCAGAATATAGAGGATCGAAATGTGAAGCAAAAACACTAGGATCCTCAGCATAAAAAACAGCCGCAATGATTGGTATGCGATACTACAGTTCGTGTAAGTACATCGGGGCTACAAGGGCAAACTCTAAACGCCAAACCCCAAAGCCTAAACCCCAAACCCTAAAACCTGAACAACATACCCCAAACCCCAAGAACCTGGCGGAGCTTCGAAAACCTCTCGTCCGTGGAGATCTCGTCATCGTTCTTATCGAAGGGGAGCTCCTGAGACTGTTTCGGGTTTCGGCGTTTTTTGATGTCGGGCGTAGGGTTTGGGGGTTTAGGGTTTAGGTAGGGGTTTAAGGCTGTAGGGTTGATAGTTTAGAGGTTCAGGGTTCAAGTTTCAGGGTTTGGGTTTGGGGCGGCTTGGAGTTTGGGGCGTTTAGGCGTCAGGGTTCAGGTTTAGAGTTGAGACTGCTTTGAAGGCTTTTTAGCAGTTAGGCCTTACCCATAGGCTCCATACTAGTTCCTTTTTGGGGTTCATATATAGAACCCTATACGGTAATCCCAAACAGGAACTACTATGGAGCCTATGGTAAAAGGTAGCTTCCGGGTTTCGGGTATAGAGGAAGGACCTTTAGCACAATGGCTCAACTGCTTACATGACCTCAGCCCACTACCACTCTGCAGGTTCATAGCCGCAAGACAAGGGCAGAGCAGGCTTTGTTACAAACTCTAAAATCTGAACCCTGCACCCTGGGCCCTGCACCCTTCACCCTGTTTAACAGTTTCAGCAATAACCTGGGGTGCCGGCTGTCATCGTGCGAACAGCGACTGCGAGCACGCGGAGCGCCTCAACACGAGCTGACCCTAAGGCTCTAAGGACTGATATTACTATTATTCTCCTGATTTTTATGTTTGTTCCTATATAGTTGTTATTGTTATGGATTTTAACATAATTGAGGCTTTTGGGCACAAATACCATCCTGTGTCAGACCTGCGCATTTTGAGCCTTAGGGCAAGCCTCAAGACGGCACTTGCGACCGTCATGAAAAAGATCTTGCACATGGAATCCAAGGCTCTGAATCCTCAACCACGATAACAAAATCAACCGTGACACCCTGCTCTTTCTCAATGAAGCAAGGGACCCGCGCGAGCGGTTGCTTCCATTTCATTACTTCCTCCGATCTTGGCCATGAGCCCAAAGACCTCCGAAAACCTCTCAAACTCTTCAACCCTAAACCCCCTCAACAATCTGAAGGCCTTACGGAAGAAAGGGGCCTTGCTGCTGTATTCATCAACGACCTTTAGGATGTCCTGCCTTGCCTGCCAGAGGGGAGAAATTCCATGCTTTCGGATTTTGGGGTTGAGGGCGTAAGCACAACCCAGATCCAGGAACAGTCCATGACAAGAAGCAGTTGGGTTTCGTGTGGCAGAGGGGATTGATTGAATACCGAACCAGGCAGGTAACACTGCAGGATGGCTGAAGGAAACTGATGCACAGGCTTGGCGCCGCTTTCCTACGTACGCGTTCGGTCTTGCGGGTCGCTTCTGTTGCATCTGCTGCCGGTCCGGGCAACAGAAGTACGTAAGTACGGCAAGTAATCATCCAAGCCACCCCCAAAACTAACGAAACAACATGGGCAAACGCAGAGACAGCCACATGGACACACCTGAAAAATGCGTGCAGTCGGAAGTGGAGACAGTGAGCATGATGCAACATGATGCAAGATCGGACGCATGAGTGAACAGGAACCGCGAATCTGGACAAGCAGACCTCCGCGATCTCAACAGACGTGAACGCTGGTTCGAATACAGTACGTTGTGGGGTCCCCCAAGGATTGCTAGAAGGGTTACTGTGATAGCGGTTGCATACCAGTATTAGTGGAGTGGAGTAGTGTTAGCTGTAAACGACTGCTGATTGGATGGTAATCAG